AAAACAGGGTACATTACACGTGAACAGGTGATGGATGTTTGTAAAACAAAACAAAACAGGGTACATTACACGTGAACAGGTGATGGATGTTTGTAAAACAAAACAAAACAGGGTACATTACACGTGAACAGGTGATGGATGTTTGTAAAACAAAACAAACCAGGGTACATTACACGTGAACAGGTGTTGGATGTTTGTATTATGGCTGCGGTTTCTCTCTCTCATGAATTTACACTTAATTGTATTTCATCTACAGTTTGAATATGCTGCGTAAGATTTGCTTTATCCTTCCTTTTAATGTTTAGCTTACCTAAAAAAATAAAAACACTAATTATTTATATGAATTTATATATATATATGAACGTACATTTTAAACATCTTTATCAGCAAACAACTTGAAAAAGATATTTGACACATTAAACAAATAATTATTGTTAATTACAAAAGTAAATAAATAATATTGTGTTATTAATCATTACTCTATAAATCTAATTAGTATGTGACGTAGATAATCTTAATTAGCTTGCTTAATCTAGTTCACACTGTAACTGGTGTTGATCATGTAAGTTGATGATATAAATATCGCTGTCGTATCACAGCCTGCTTGAAGATCGCTGGTATTGTACGAAAGATCTCGTCTGCAGTTGATATGGCAGATGTAGTGTGGGTAACATATTATAATGTATTCTTTTTTGGTTTCACTCGTAAGTTTTTAAAATTGTGACTTCCCCGAAAGGGGCCACATGTTTTTAAGCACTCTCACTGTTTTACAGCAGTGGGTTGTCTGTCAGTCAGTCTACACTAAAATTACGTTACATAAGGGACGTTTAACGTTGCAACTTGTACTGTCGTGACGTCAGTAAAACTTACTCGTGCCATGAATCACGAGAGGAACTATGTAGTCTGTAGGCTACAACACAGCATGACTGACACACGAATTTCAAAAGCAAGAAATAAAAAATATTTGTTACTCATAATTTTGGTTTTATTTACTCTTGAAACGGAACACTTTCAGAGAACCCTGCGGAAATACATCGAGTATATTTGTGTTTTAAACGAGTATATAAAGATGATCGTGGTGACGCCTTGAAATGAAAAGTATCGTTATAAAAGCACTAAATTTTTGTTTTATATTACCATGGGAGATAAAATATTTCTGTAATATTCACTTTAAAAAAAAAAAAAAATGTAGCGGTTATTGTAAAGAGCAACTCGCAAAGACCAAAATCGTAAATTAAACTTGGTAATTCCTCTGGAGGACCCTCCTCATTGGCTCGGCTGTAAACCTGACGGTTTATACCGCTAACAACCGGGTTTCGATACCCTTGTGGTCAGATAGCACATTTAATACCCTTGTGGTCAGATAGCACATTTAGTAGCTTTGGAGGGCCTTTCTTTCTTTCCCGCGCGTTGAAATGGTACATATCAAAAACACGAAGATTTGTAAGAATGAAAGTCGTATTATAACTAACTTGTGTTATGGAGTATTGTTCTACCAACCTCTCTAGTAACAATGAAAAAGTTTTATTATAACTAACTTGTCTTATGGAGTATTGTTCTACCAATCTTTCTTGTAACAATGAAAGTTTATAATTAATTTGTCTTATGGAGTATTGTTCTACCAATCTTTCTTGTAACAATGAAAGTTTTATTATAATTAACTTGTCTTATGGAGTATTGTTCTATCAATCTCTCTTACTGGAGCAAAACGGCAGATACAGAATGTCATAAAATGTGCTACTGGCGTATAATGACGTTTGCGTTGTTTCTAAAATGTTAATTCTATTAAAGCACTCGCAAATTTTTAGTAAAATAATGTACAGAGAAACGGTCTTTTTTTTTCTTTCGAGGTTCCTACTTCTTAGCTAGTGGATATACATTCGTTAAATAACGTGACGTATAGTGACATCTATAATAATTTTATAAATATTATTATAGAACTGGTTCTGGGTTAGTTCATTAATATGTCTCTAGGCCACATTCTAAGGTAGCTAACATGTCTCAGCCGTAAAAACTTGTTGAAATTAGGTTATGATTTTCAGTCAATTACACAGTTCTGCGATGGTTTTATTGTCTTGAAATTTTTACATGTTCTACCGAAATTCCTGTATGTTGAATCCGAAAATAATATCCATTTTTCTCCATCACGTACAGATTTTTCACAAAACGTCATATGAACTTTTACATAAGTGAATCATTTTCAATGAAATCGGGGTCACATTTTGTTTTGCTTAAAATGTTGACAACCACTGGCTATAGATTTCTCTAGACCAATCGCGACGTGAGTCTTATCGATCGTTCTAGAACCCACGAGAAACACACCGCTAGTATATAAAAGGCCGGACGACGTGTCATTTCTGGATAGTATTTGTTTGTGCATGCACTTTGACGTTATTTTTTTTTCTTTTCAATATTATTTATTCGTCGCTATGGCAACAAAAAGGTGTGTAAATAACCCAAACATGTT